ACTAAGAGGTTTAATGTTTATACCCGCTAAACACCAGTGTGTTAACGTGCTGATGTTAGCATTTAGCTCAAAACTCCTCTATGCCTCATGGAGGCACTAGCATACAGTCTTATGCAAAAGTTTAGGCACCCCTTGATAAATAACAGATTTTGGTGATTTTTTATTTGAACAGATGTTAACACAGTTTCTCTTGGAAATGGAAAAAATGCACAATATTTTCAGCAAACAGTGATGCATAGTTACTTCTTATGCCATAAATTGAACAAAAATAAAAAATAAAAACATTATTATGGCATGGTGCAAAAGTTTGGGCACCCTAAGAGTTCCAGAGTCTCAAAGTCTCTCACAAGGTATCAGACCTTAATCAGCTCGTTAGATCTGATGCACAGCAACAGCTGTCATTGGTAAATGCCAATTTCAAAGCTGTACAAATACTTTGACTCTTCAAACCTTGTGCACACACTTGTGGACACCCAGCAACCATGGGTTCCTCTAAGCAGCTGTGTAAGACCCTGAAAATGAAAGTTATTGACGCCCACAATGCAGGAGAAGGCTACAAGAAGATAGCAAAGCGTTGTCAGCTTGCAGTTTCCACAGTAAGAAATGTAAATAAGAGATGGCAGATCAGGGGAACTGTGGAGGTCAAGATGAGATCTGGAAGACCAAGAAAACTCTCGGACAGAACTGCTCGTATGCTGGTCAGAAAGACAAATCAAAACCCCCATTTGACTGCAAAAAACCTGCAGGAAGATTTAGCAGACTCAGGAGTGGTGGTGCACCGTTCCACTGTGCAGCGATGCTTGCACAGACAAGGCCTTCATGGAAGAGTCAGCAGAAGAAAACCTTATCTGCGTCCCCATCATAAAATCCAACGTCTGAAGTATGCAACAGACTATTAGTCCTGTTACAGACTATTAATCTTGTGTTATAAATGGTAGACACGTAAAAGTCTAATAAAAAGCTAATGCAGAAGCATTATGGGTAATGTACTCAATGTTTTTGACATCCATACTAAGGACTGAAATTAAGGATATTTTGGTATCTGCTGCTTCTTTTTTGTCCATCCTTATTTTAATGTGTCAGACAGTCTTGCACTTCCCCAACTTAAGGTGCAACACTAAACTACTGCTGCAATACATAAAACATAAACTGATAAGCAGGGCAAATAGGAATACATTTTCCCAGTATTAGTAGCTGTTTGCCAATACATACAAGACAGCATAAGAAACATGTCATGAGAAAGAGATTATGATTCATATTCCAACCCATTTTTTTAATTACAGGGGATGATTGAATTTACTACCAGAAAGATAGAAACTAAAACTGAGGAGTGCAATTCAGGTTGACTCGGTAAAGGGTATCTAATTGTCTCTCTGAGGCTGAGGAGTGAGGGGCTTGTGGGGAGGACAGTGCCGGCAGGCAGAGCACAGCAGAGCCACCCCTCAGCCAAGGTTATCACTAAGACTCAGAGAGTAGACAGAGATCCACTTTGTGGTTCACAGCCACTCGCTTACATGTCATACCACAAGACGTCTGTGTGGAAGATAAGAGCGTCTGAGCGTAGGGAGCTGACAGAAGCAGGCAAAGAGGAAGAGGTAAGCAGGGAAGAAGAGTAGGAGTCACAAAGAGAGAAAGAGAGATTCACAGTAAATGAGTGGGAGGTGGGAGCAGAGAGTGTCTTCTAATGTAGATCTCAGCGGTATGTTTTCAAAGTGCCGAATGAAACTTTCTATCACCATGTCAAGGGAAGTGGAGTGTGTTGGCTCTACTGCTCTCTCACCCCGCCTTCCATGCAGAGCAATTACCACTGGCACATGCCCCCCTGCCACCGTGGTCCCCCTGCAGTTCAGTGAAATCATCCGACAGACCTGTGACTCATCAATTACATAGAGTAAAAGGCCTGTCCTGTAGTGGCCTCATGAGTATCACTGCATGTAGGAGGCTTAAGGAGCACAGGGAGAAGAAGAGACAAAGCAAAGCTGTCTCATTATGGAAGCACATCAGAGAAACTATCTCATCTATTATTCTCGTTAGTAGGCTGCGGATCAGAAAGGCAGCATTTTAATATCACCCAAAAGCTGCTGAAGATTATTTTCTAACCTGCACAATGTCTGTTTGGCATAAATCAGCTCCACAGGAATGACTGAGTGTTCTGCACCTTGCTTAAGGGCACATAAGCAGTATGAAATTTACTTTCTGCTCCTAATGTTGAATAAAGTGGCGTGATCATTGATTTAAAGGGAAGTAGAACTGAGCCATGTCTGAAAAGCTGTATTGCCAGTGTGTGCGCCTCATAGACCATTGTTCCACCAGCCCTGTGATTTGCACTAAAGGGGGTCGCAGTGGGTTGCCATAGCAACCTTTCAGTATAGATGGCCTGTTTCTTGTCCAATAGCGCTGATCATCAGCATCATTGGAGGAGCATCATTAGCAGGAAGCGCCGAGGGCTGTGTGATCAGTACCTAGCCAGGATGTTAGAGACAAAGGAGCTGGCCTTTATCTTCTGCAGGCTGCAGCAACATTGAGCCCTGACATGACAAACCTCCATAGGATCCTTCGCACCTGGATGCCCCCCATTGGCATGCTGAGCTTGTCTCTGCATCTGTTGCCTTCAGCCCTGCTTGTCTCTAAGGCAACAACAAAGGCCTCACTGCGTTGATCTCTCCACTGTTGTAGTGTCAACACACATAGTGATTGTATCATCTTGATTACAAGAGGCTGTCATTCACATGGCTCCGCTGCTCTCTGATACGCTCAGGGGGCTCTTGTTCATGGCTCAGCACAAATGAAGGAAAACACACAACAGAGAAAACAGCAGCCCTCATATTTGACACTCTTCAGTGGCTTTAAAGACCCCCATGAGGTAAACACTCATATGGCAGGAAGGCTGGTGTCTGAGCAGAAAGATGAAACCGAGTCTGATGGCCTCAGCAGCAGCCCCACTCCTAATGCATGATTTTTATTGCTGGAAGTAAAGAGCTCAAAATACGAGCCTGCACTTCAACGTGCTGCTTTCTACACACCTAACTTTTAGCTAGAAACATCTCACCCATTTCCTGGGTCAGAGTTTTGCTTCCTGGGATTAGATCAAAGTGAAAACACTGTGTGTTGCATGCTAACACTTGTGTGTGAAAACTGCGCTTACCCCCACACTATATGCTGTAAACTGATATTCAAATAAAAGGTGGATGGCAGCAAAGTGGAAAATGTTTACACACATGCTTACAGCTGGGTTTTCTCTGTTGCTCTCTAACAAATGCTCATATTCACAGAGAGGAGGTGTGAAGCTAGTGAGGATGTGTCATTTGAAGCGGTGTGATTCATCCTCTCTCAGCCACACAATGACAACTCGCATGCACTGAAGCCTGCCAACTGTCCCCTCCCCCAGCTTTAATAAATGTACAAATGACTGAACTTCTTGTTTGTGACCTTCATGTCACTCAGTAAAAAAAACAAAACAAAAATAATACTCTAGCCAGTTTTTCGAAGTAGAATTAAATGAAGTTGAGCACAGGGATGATGTTGAGGCCCAAAACAACAGCTTTGTCCATCTGTTCATCTCTCAGTCCATTCTTCCACCTCATCTCCCTTGTCTCACTCATTCAGTGGTGAATGTGAACCGGTCACCGAATGCCAGTGCAGAGGAGAGAGGCACGGTGTAATCTAAGGAGCAGATGGGAAATTTCAATGGATCGGAAAATCCAGAGTAGTTGTGAGCCGTCTTCAGAGAGGGTGCAGGGTGACACCGATATCACAGTGCCCCCCCATGGCCACTTCCACATGTGCATCCATTCTTTTTGCAAGCAGCTTTTTCAATTGACTGCATTTTCCTGATTTATAGGAAGTTTGCAAAGGGAACAGACTAAAGATAAATGTTTAATGGCTGGGATAATTCTCTGCTTCATTGTCCTTGTGTCTGACTTATTCAGCGGACATTCACCAGTAAAGCCAAGCAGACAGTACTGAGAGGGGCTTTCTAGTCTCCAGCACCTTAGGCTGTCTGAAGAGCAAAACGCTGGCTGCCAACCTCAAACCTCTTCTCAAGATCAACAGCTTTCAATACAAATTTGTGGTGTCAAGTGTTTTTGTACAGCTCAAAGCTCTTGGTAATGAACTCTATTAATGCAGCACCATTCATCACAACACTGCAGGTGCTAAAACAAAGCCAGGGAATGTGTGATAAAAATTCACAAGATTTCTGAGTACTTAGAATGAATTTAATGAAAAACAATCAAAGGAAAAAAGATGAATTTGTGTATAAAAACAAAACACTTTATTACAATTAGGCTGAAAAACCTTAATGAAAACACAACTACTTTACAAGTACAAATGTTTTTTGTTATTTACAAGTTTTTTCTGACAATTAAAAAAAGACGATATATGAGAAAACAAGATACTAAAGTACAAAAAACAAATGACTAAAGGAACGTGCATCATTTTGCCATTCAGTATCTATAGACAACAAGGTAAATTAGACATAAAATGATCTATTTATGAATACAGTTCATCTAACGGACAGCTCATTTCCCAATGCAGATTTACCCATAAGCCCTCTGATATCTGTTGAATATGATTATAATCATCGCTTTAAAGGCGTGACTGTTGTGCCTGTCATTCTGTGTTTGCAATAATGTCAAGAAACATTCCACATTTCTTGAATCCTACTAAGAATTGTAGTAACATAGTTGATTTAGTAATGCCATATCTAGATCTCACCAGAAATACAGGCAGAAGCGCCATGAATGATTTAACAATTTAGGTATAAGCCAAAATAGTGACATGTATTATGTTGAACACAGTTTATGCTCAGGTCAAGTTGGGGACGGCCGGGGTGAGGTTGATATTTGGTGTGGGACGCCTGTCTCCGTCTGCAGCTGCTGTGGGTTCTATGAGAATGAAACAACTTCAGTACTGTCACATCTTTACTGCAGAAAAACGCCTTTTCATTAGTGTGAATGTCCTAGCTGCCCCCCCCAGTAGGCTTGGCAGGAGTTTTGGCCCTAATGCCCCCCTGGCGAGCTTGACCCTTGGTGGGCTGAGCGGTCTGTTGCACTGGGGACTCGGCAGCAGAGGGTGCCGGAGGCTGCTGGGCTGGGCTGTGGGGGGGAGGCGTCTGCATCTGAGGTGAGGTGAGCCGGAGCTGATGTGGCTGCCTGGGTCAGAGTCACAGTCTGAGGCTGGGCCTGGATCTGAAGAGAAATGACTCAAATCGCTTAAATCCTGTTAGAGAGTTTGATATGATCCATTCCACTGCATTTACAGAGCTCTTGATCAATCATTAAAAAAAACTTCGAAATTAAAAACTGAAATGAGCCCACAGCCTAGAGTATAAAGGCTCTGCCTGAGGACCTGAGCCTTCTCAGGTGGAGACGAGTCTATCATGCAGCTTAGCGACAGAGTTCAAGACACATGTTCAAGTGATCAGCTATACAGAAGTTACTGTCAGGATCAGTGCTCAGCCTAAAAGCCTACCTGCTGAGGAGAAGACACGATTTGTTGAATATTGGCCACAGTAGGCTGCTGCTGCACTATTTGAGGGATCTTAGGCACCTGATAAGAGAAGTAAACAAGAAAATCTCATGTCAACAAACACACTCATTGTTAATCTGCAAATATTTACTCTGCAATAGTGACTGCCACTGATGATGTACCTGGAGTTGTTGGGCTCCAGAGGGTTTCTGCGCCTGGGCGATGGATGTTGTGAAGAACTGGGTCTTGATGCCCGGCTGCAGTTGGGTGGCAGCAGTGTAGGTCACCTTTTGCTGTGGCTGCTGGGCTGGCTGCACTGTGACCTGCTGGTCATAATAGTTATTTAAAGCACTTTATCTTTCCAAGCATTTCTACTGAACTACTTTACTTTAGCTACAAAATGTATACCACTGTTGTGAACATGTGAAAATTCAGTGTCTAATTGGTGTGTGTTTGTTTACCTTCTGCTGTACAGTGGTCTGCCCTTGCTGCTGCTGCCCCGCTTTCTGCTGGGCTGCGGCTGCTGCTTGCTGTTTCTTCATCTGAAGCAGCTGCTGGACCTGCATCGGGGGGAAGGATGGCGTCAGCACGGGCCCACCTGGCAGAGAGAACAAAAAGAAAAAAAACCATGAGAACCTAAGGAAGTCTGTGTAATAATTAACAGCACATTTTGTTGCAATATTAGAATGTCACAAAAAGGAAGTCCAACACAAGTGATGCCAGTCCAGTCAACAACAAATACTGCTGCCTGCTCTGATTTGTATTCCAGTTTGTGGTATGTACATATGATTAAAATAACAGCAATGGATCCATGAGATAAGTGGGACATTAGTTCCTTGATTACTGCAGCTGCTTGGCTATAAAGCCCACATGGACAGGAGGAGCAACAGTCAAGTCAAAGTCAAAGTTTAAAAAAAAAAAAAAAAAAAAAAAAATTCTACACTGTTCAAAAAACCCGGCAAAATCTGTAACACACCTGTTTTTTGGGCCTGACCAATAGCCACACTAATGCCAGCTACAGTGACTGGCAGTGTAGTGACGCCTGCTGATGAGACCACAGCCGGCACAGATACCACAGGAGGCTTGGTGAGGGTCACCTGAGCGGTCTGTCCTGCCTGGGCTTGAATCTGGCCCTGGGTGGGCACTCGAGTCTGTGAAAAGAAATAATCAGTATCAATGCAGACCACAACCTCAACTAAGACTATGTTCACACTGCAGGCTGAAGTGGCTCAAATCCGATCTTTTTGCCCAAATGTGACCCATATCCGATTTCCTTATGACAGTGTGAACAGCACAAACACGATTTTTTCAAATCAGGCCCAGGCCACTTTCATATGTGGTCCTAAATTGGATACATATCCGATGATTTGCAATGCGACTTCAGTCTGAATGGCCATGTCGCATTTCATGCGATATTTATGTCATTGATTTTTATTGTCACCCACACACTCCTCTGTACAGAGGTAGCAGCCACTGCTCCCCAAAAGGCCCTA